ATGTGCCCTCCCTTGGACTCCCAAGAGATAGCCTCTCCTGTGAGATTCTGCTTTGTAGTTTTCTTAGTTATCATCAGTCTGTGCCTATATTCCTGGATTTAAAGCTTTAGACAGCACGTTTTTCTTTGAAAGATGAAGAGAAATCTGCATTCTTAATAGCTTCTCTCATTTCTCCCCCATGTTGATTCACACACACACACACGCACACACGCACAGACACACACGCACACACACAGCATTGCTAAAGTTTATACATCACATTCTCCTCTGTGACTGTAATAATTATTACAAAATATAATATATAAACATTTATTTTGTTATAAACCTATAAATGCGAATCTCTATAGAGCTGTTTAGTTGTGTGCGCAGTCATAGAGAAGGGTATATTATCCTATTTTACTAAATCCCTGTGGCTTAAAGGAGAATGACATAAATGTCAATATCCACGAGATTCTCTTAATTAATTTTAGCCTCTTAACTACTCTGGGTATTTCTTAAAATGTTATTGCTGGTTCCTTTTCCTATGTTTAACACAAATTTTTTTTTTTCCCATTCAATTTCATTTGGTGCTTGGGTAGATACATGTACTTGCTCTGCCATCTTGTACCAACATAGTCAGAAATGTTAAACAGGAATTAGGAATTTAAAATCCTCAGCTTTGGGCTTACCCATATTTTTGGTGTTTGGCATAGAAATTGCTGAATGAAGCTGTTTCAGAAAAATACATCTTACATACCCTACCAAGATTGGAACTGTCAACTATTTTTTCCTTCTGTACCAAGATTTTATAAAATAGAACATAGCATTCATGGTCCTTAACCACTGCATCAAGATATTCTGCTCAGAGGCTACCCTCAGGCTTGAAAAATTTTAAGAAGGAGCCTCTGCCCATTTTTTTAGCTGCAGCAGCAGTAACACTGGTCATCTTAGAAAGAATTTAAGGTTTCTTTTTCTTCTTTTGGGTAAACCAAATTTGCTTTGGCTCAGCTAGGACCGATTGCTGCCACCATTTCCTTATAAGCCATGTATTGTTTTTATTCTCCACAGCCTCCTGTTTGGATATGCCCTTGGCATGTAGAAATAATACGGGTCTGTCACTTAATTCTCATTGACGTAGTGTGGGAAGCGATGCAGCGTAGCAGCATGGCTGCTGTGGGTTTTCCTCACGGTTCTCCTAGGGAACACTGAAAGGGCAAAGAACTTCAAGGTCTTTGTCTCAAATGCTTGTCTAGTCCATAATAGTCTCATCATGGTGTACGGGTAATGTGCTTACGTGAGTTCTGTGGAAGAATGAGGCTATTGTACACTTTACCTGTTGTAGATTTTATCATGAGCTTATAAATTTTCTGACACTGGTCTTCACTTGAACGCAAACAGAAGTATAGGTGACAGAAGCTTTTGTTTTTTCCTTCTTAACGGCTGTTCAGCTTGCTTTATTTTTCTTAAAACTGCAGCATTTAGATAGGTGTTCCATTAGTAATAGTGCTCAGTTATGTTGATACCTATGTAGTCCAGAAATTTCTCTTTTCATAGCACTAGAAACAAAGTGAGTTTTCATCTTTTGTCTTACATGTAATACAAATGTACCAGCTTCTGAAACTGGGCAATTTTATCTCGAATATGCCTTGTATATTTGTACCCTTCTCCAAAGGTAATATTAACTGATCATTAAATTGTATAGTTACAGAAGGTTGGTTGTGCTGAAATGTATAATTTGCAGATGTGTATTTACGGACACTTCAGAGAGAGTGTCGTTGACTATAAGGAATTCGGCAAGCCTATTTCGAAGCTTTATAGTGAGTTTTTAAAATACAATGCTTTTAACTTTTGCAGTACAAACCTTGATATATTTTTAAAAATAGAAGCCTGATAAGTGAAATGAACTGATAAGAAAGCAGATCTTTCTCTTTTATTGGGGAATGCTTAAGGCCATAAGAACTTACATCTTAATAGGATGTGATTTTAAAATTTCTAATACAATTTTACGCTTAAATTATTTCAGTCATACTATTTATTATCTCTAAAAGGAGGTATTAACTAGTAAGAAATCCTAGATTTTAAATTATCGACTACCTACTCTTTGCCTAAATATGACAAAAAAATAACAAAACCTTTTACACTTTGAGATTCATCAGACTTTTAAATATCAAAAAATGAATTTTTTCTTTAATTTTTAAAAACCCGTTACTCAGATTATGTTACTAGCATGAGATTACCTAAAACGTGACACATCATTCATTAATTGGCAAACACAACTCATTCATCCACTTGACAAATATTGGTAACCTGGTGTGTGTCAGGTACTAGTTTAACATTCATTTTTAAAAATTAATGACTTTAAATTCCGCTTTTAAAGTTAATTACTAAATCTTATATACATTGCTTTGAAAGGAGTTAATTACCTGAAGTGACAATTTCTAAACTGTTGGGAGGATCCAATTCAATATTCAGGTAAGAAGCCCCCTAGCCATAGTGATGTTAAAGGCCGAGAAAGTAGGCATTGAACAGGATTATTTCTTGAACCCAGATCAGTGAAATGGCGTTCAACTATTTGGAAATACCTTTGTTGCAAAGAATATTTGTAACAACATTTTCAGTTCATAGGATTTTGCCTAAATTCTGTTAGACCTGTATTATTTGTGACATAGTTTTTCTTATAAAAAACTGTAAAATTTTCCATAAAATTGTATGAAATCTGTAATATCCTAGAGTCACTAGAAACTTCCAGCCGCCCAGTTGGTATCTTCTTCACTTAGATGTCTCATACAGTTGCTCCAACTGAACATTTTGAAACAGCTTCAGCCTTCCTCTCACATCTGCTTTTTCTCTGGTCTTTCCTGTCAAGTTACAAAGGTCAGTTCCACAGTTGAGTATGATCCATTCTTCCTCCACAATCTATCTCCAGTCTGTCTACTTTTCTCTGTGTCCATTAGCATTGGTCGGGTTCAGGCTGCCACCATCTTACCTGGATTACCACAATACTCTTTTGACTTGTCTCCCTGCTTTCCTTTTCGTTGGCCTGTCTCAGCCATTCTCCACACAGTTAACTTAGCTATTTTCTTTCTCCCTTCCTTTCTTTTTTTTTTTTAAGATTTTATCCATTTATTTAGAGAGTGCGCACGTGAGCAGGGGAGAGGGGCAGAGGGCATGAGAGAGAATCTCTAGCAGACCGCCCCCCCGAGCATGGAGTGCGATGTGGGGCTCGATCCCAGGACCCTGAGATCATGACCTGAGCCGAAATCAAGAGAGGTGGACGCTTAACCGACTGAGCCACCCAGGTGCCCCTAACTTAAATATTTTCTTAAGGGAAACTAGCTCATTCTGCTCCCTTGCTCAGAACCTGTACATGATTTCCTTTTGTACTTAAGATAAAATTCAAATCTCTTTCTTGGTTTGATACAGTCTGGCATATGCTTGTCCCTGTCAGACTTGCCAGCTTCCCTCTTCATCAGTGCTGTTTTCTGTCCTAAATGCCCCTGTCCCATCCCTTTGCTTGGTCAACTCTTCTCCCCCTTCAGATTTCAGCTTAAAAGGCCATTTTTGAAGTACGTTTTCTGCTGAGCCTCCCTCTTCAGATGGTTGCTCCTTCTCGTCAGGTCAAGAAGGCTCTCTCTGGCGGTGCACCGTATTAGGCCCGCTCCTAAATTGCAGAGGGAGCTACCACCTGAAGATCTATGGAAGGAGCAGGGAGTTGAAGGCCTGAGGCTGAGATGATTGTGAATTAAAATCAAGCTACCTTCAAAACCACATGAGACTCAACTTGCTAAAGCATTTGAACAAGAGAGTCTCTGTACAGAGTGAAATAACTTAAAAATTTTTTCATCATTGAGGCATCCTTTGCCAGAAGCAAATCTCCATTCTCTAAGTCATGGACTCTCATTTAGATTCCTAGACAGGTTTCAAAAATATTTGTGATGCCATTGGCTCAGCTCGGCAGCGGATTCATTGGGGCTCAGTGACTGATATACAGGGTGCCCCATACCTGGCTTCCTCTTGGCCAAGAAGCATCACAGAGTCCAAAAAGCATTGATTTCATTGTCAATGAGAATTGGCCCCAAATCTCAGCTCTTTCACGGATTGCCTGTTAAGCGTGGGCAAAATATTTTTTTGCTCCGAACCAGTCTCCAACCTGGTGGTCTGTGGTGGGGATTAAATGAAGTACTGATTATAAGGCACCTGGCACAGAGCAAATGGCTACAAATGATTCTGATCAATGTCTGCTTACATTTATCCTTTGGATTTATCCTTCAGATAAAATGATCAAAGGGACTTCTACCAAATTTTAAGACTGCTTTACCTCAACTTAGAAACCATAGAGTTATATCTAGGCAAACATTTGAAAAGAAACAATTGATGAACACATTGACCAGAATTCCTTGTTGGTCTCTCTTGTGAAAGTGGGAAGAAAAAAATGATTCTGTGTCTGAGGCAAAGATAAATGTTACAGAGGATATAGTTTCCTCTAGGTTTTATTTGATCTTTTTATTCTCTCTGAAGACATAGTCTGAAATAATGTGGAAAACTTCAAAAGCAGAATAGAAGCACTTGTACTGATACATGGAGACTTTTATGGCTTTCTGTTTACCCAGTGGTTTTTTTTTTTAAATCCCTAGATAACAAAATACAAAGAATGGAATTGGGAGTCAGCCTTTCATATGGAAACACTAGAAGTAAAATCTTTGATCACAGTGATTTCACACAAATAAATGTTAGTTTGGCACAAGAGGGAAAGGGAACGTGTTCCGATTTCACTGGTCTTGTCAGTGTTTTACATTTTAATCCTATCACAGGCCTTGCATTAAAAACATGGTACACGCATCATCATCCTCAGAGAAATTTTTATGCTCAAGCAGAGCAAATCCAGTAGATTTATGTAGCCCTTCCCTGGCCTGCATGTTGCAATGGTACATTTTCTTGTTTCCATAAAGAATTTTTCAAAAGCACCAAATACTGATAATTGTTTGCTTTTTTTTTTTCTTTTCTCTTCCTCTTTTTTCTAGGATTATGACAGTTTTTTTGAAGCAAAGGAAAGCAACACGGTCTATTCATTCTTAGGCCTGAAACCACGATTGGCATCAAAGGTAGGTAAATCTTTTCTTGTTTTAAAATTCATCTTTCTTGAATTGTCTCTAGGGGTTGAGATTGAAGGTGTTAGAGGAATGCATGTGTAAGTCTCCTAAATTTTTAAATTTCACTCGCTCAAATGCACAGTCAGTGACTGCCCGGTGTAAAAATGCACAAAGAAGCCCAGGGTATTTTCCTCCAATTTTCACTTGTTGTATATTAGAGTTTATTTTTATCTATCATTTATTTTATTTAAAATCTATACCCCCCTTCTTCCAAGAAGAATTTAAGGTAGTACGTGCTTTCTGTTTTAAAGTGCAAGTTTACATTACTTTACATTTTTTGAAATAGCAGAATCAAAGCCATATCTTTAAGGTTTTTTGCACATTTAATTCCTTTACATTGGAAGGGAGATGGTCTGTAATAATAAATGGTCAACCTTGAAAAAAAAACACTATAATTCCTAAACTAAATCAAAATGTTTTTTGAAGCTACTTTATTATGTCATATGTCTTTGATGGAACATAAAAGGCTCAAGCTTTTCTAATATTTAGACCAGAAGTTATATGTATTATTACAAGTTTGTGAAGTGTATAGATTCACTTTCAAAATAAAAAACAGAATTTCTTTATTAAATAAGGTAATATTTTGATTATTTCCCCCTTTAAAAATATTATTTTCTTCTGATTATGAAAGTAGCCTTATTTAGGAAAGGTTCATTTAGGAAAATACCAAAGTATAGAGTAGAAAATAAAAATAAGTAGAAAATAAAATTCCACCACCCAGAGATAAGCATATTAACTTTTTTGGGTGTATTTTCTTGTTATCTTTATATACAAGGCAGTTGAGGTTTTGGCTATATTTCAGATTGAGACTGAATTCTAAAGTATCTATTTTTAACACTGAATTGAAATGAAAGTACATTACTGGGTACTTTGATGTCTGTCAGCAATAGGTCTTTTGAGACTAAGGATCTGTACCATTTCTGGAACACCTATGGGAGGAAAGCAGAGACTATCAATAAAATAAATTATACACCAGCACCCGCAGTTCATAGCCGATGTGAAATCTTGCTTTGTTTTTACATTACTAAGTCCACAGATGGTTGTGGGTGGTTTCCATGCATATGTTTTAAACAGTGGCAAAACCCACACATATAATATTTAAAGGTTCTTACAACTATTTTTATAAAGATGGAACATTGGAATACTTGTTAGGAAAATTGTAGTATTTTTATAACATATTTCATCCAAAGATATTAAACAATCCAGATTTATCTTCAAAGACCTGGAAAAAACATGGGTAGGAGTAATCTAAAGGATGCATAAATCTAGTGGACATCATTATCTATGCAAAAACCTTAAAAAAAAAAATACTGTGTGCTTGCCATCTTTGTTCTCATTTTCCCCTGAAGATGTAGATTCCTTAGAGACTCTGAAGGCTGATTTTTTTACTCTTTAAAAATATTTATTCTCTCATAAATTTCCCAGGAAGCCTATAATCCATAAAATATGCATTTTCACATGACTTGTGGTCACAGTATTAAAGTTGGTCTTCTGATGCCACTGACAACTACTTAATTTCAGTAGACCATTCCAAGGGCATTAAAGCCTCTGGGCAACCCCACCCATTCAGCACATTATATTCCAGCCCCTAAGTCAGTGGAACCAGAGTGGAAGTCCATGGTGCCAGAGTGTTTGTGCAGCCCTCTCTCATGAATCATTCAGAGCCATAAGGGTTAATAGCAACTAACACTTTGCATAGGAGAGAGGTGAAAATATGTTTAAGAGCAATTCAGCTTCCCCTCCCCGCCCTTATTAATTTTTTTACCTTGGTAGTAATACATACTCAATCCACAATCCACACTCAAAGGCCTAGACAGAGTATTCATGTGTATAATGTACTAAAAGATGGAAGCCCCCTTTTCTCCTTTCCTTTCCCTCATTCTCTGCAGTATATGTACATAAACAATAGGGCTAGAAAGCCTGCCAACGAACATATAAACACCATTAGCATCTGTAATTGCTCATACACAGTGAGGAGAGAGTAGAGAGATGGTAGAAGAGCGTTCACAAGCCCAACAGGCCCAGGTATAAGGTAGACTCTGGGCAGTTCTCAAAAATGGACAGGGCAGAGGAAGATAAGAGGTCACAAAATGGTGGCCTGTAGGCCACATTGGCTCTGGATGCATCCCTCCTACACAGAACTTTGAAAAGAATTTAAATGGGTTGCTAATATTTAAAATACAGATTTCTCACTTTTCTCAAGAAACTGAAAGTATGGAAATCCTGGGGGACCCCACTTCCTCCTTTGGCTGGTTGGAGCCAGTAGAAGCCAACCCACCATGGTACATACCTAAGAGAAAAGGAGGCCTTTTCACCAATAATTTTCAGGTAGAAAATCATCAAGTTTGTTGTTTAATTAGACTTAAATCAGGGCCTGGAGTAGAAGTTTCTGCTTTGGGATCCCTGCCTTTCAGGGGTGATATTCAAAATACTGTAACAGCTAGTAGATCCTGGGCACTGACCAGCCAGAGCTAGCTTGAGCATGTCTCGGAAGTCCCCCCCTCCAAACCCCGCCATGGCAGGTGTCTGTTTAGTGGCTGAAACATGGAGCTTTCCTGGGAGGAGGGCCAGAAGTGGCCCTGGGGGAATTGGGGCAGCAGCTTATTTACCAAGAATTTTGGCCATACTGGTGCTGTTCTTCAGCTCTGGTTGCCCTCCATAGGCCCCAAGTGAAGTACCTACACACACCCCACTCGCCTGGGTACGAGGGGAACAGTGCCTCTGAGAGGAGTATCAACAGTCACTGGAAACATGTGGCTTCCTTTCCACTTTGACATTTGGCAGGTTGGGTGGCTGATTGAAATCTGTGCTGCTCCTGAAACCTAGGATTTGCTGTCGTCAATCATATGGGGCTGATTTATTGTGATTTCCAACATCTCCATTCCTGACATTTAAAATATCATCGCCAGGCTGAATTTTCTTGTCAACCCAATGCAACAACTGACTTTTTTTTTTTCTTTTTTTAAATTAATAGGCAGAACCTTAGAGAAGACAAGTGGAAGATAACGGAGATGCATTTTGGAGTGCCCCCTGGTACTCAGCACACACCTGCTTACCTAATGCGTCACTGTGACTAAAGCCACGTGCATCATCAGTAACTTTGCTTGCCATGGAAAAGGTGTTTTTGGAAGACATGGGTATAATGGGATTGCATGATTGCTTTAAACCAAATCAGGACTGTGGTGGTTTTTTTCTTATTTTCAGGGTTGCCTGCAGTTGCCTCATTCACCTGGAGGTACTCTAACCTGTTACAGGTGTGCTTCCGTAAAGACTAAAAGATAAATGGGTAGCACCATTGGAGAGAAAATGTTGGATCTGCTCTAGGTTGTAGCTGATGCCAGTATTGCTCAGACCTGTCTCTCTTTAAGCGGCCTGGGTTGTATCCTTGAAATTAGTTTGCCAGACTATTAGAATCTTTTGATCAGACAGAACAAAAGCAATGCTGGTTGACAAAGGGCTGAAGATTTTTGCTGCAAAAGTCACAGCCATCACTATTCCAGTGCTTTGTAATAGCACCTATAGAAAAAGATGTTCTAGCCTCCTTTGGCAGTGGACACTCTTATTTCCATAAATCCTCCAGACTCCTACAGATGTTTCCAAAAATCACTGTCGCAACATGTGTGATCAGGACCAAGTTACAGGGATAAAAATAGTTGGTGTTTTGGAAAAGAAAGGTTCTTCATCTCTTGCAAGGGAAAAGTTTCATTTAAATGTAAAAGCGTAAAAGGTATATTTTAGGAGGTGTACTAATTAGATAGTAAATTTAGAGGGAAATGATCTGACACCTATCTGAAGGGATTTTCAGCTCTAGCAACTTATTTATGCACAAGTAACATATTTTTAAATGCAGCTTCCCTAACAGGTGCTTATTCTATTTTGTGAATGGATTATTTTATTTTTTTTTTTTTGAGAAAGGAAGATCTTGGTTAGATATCTTTTGTGAGCCCTTGATGAGGCATATGAAAAGATACTAATATTGGGGTACAATTTCATTTTTTTTCCTCGGTTGCTTTTCACCGGACCTCTAACGGCTTGCTCTTATTTCTGGCCAATGTACAGTCCAAGATTTTTCAGAGTACTGCAGATACATGTTCCCATTCTATACATGGATACCAGTGAGCTTTCAGAGCAGTGTATATGAGAAAGGGGCTGTCAGAGAATATCTCTGAATTGTACTTGGCACGCAGAATCTCTACTCCCTTTGGACCAGATGCTGAACATGTCGACTTCCTTCGGGCAGAGACTACTTTTCTCCATCCTTGTCCCTGCTTATGGTCTTTAGAGTTTTTAGTTGCCATACATAAACAGTCTTGAATAGGATAAATTCTTAGAGGGTTGCCTAAAATATTCTGCTTTTCTCAGCATCTTGATGCTGGACCTGTCATTCAGATGCTGAGCAGGATGTAAGAAATTGAAAGGACATAAGAATGAAAGCCCTGTCCCCTGTGTTCTCTCACCCTCAACTAAGTAAATGCGGACCACTCTGAAGGACTTGTCGAATGCGGACGCTGAAATCCCAGCCTGAGATTTGCAGCCCAGGACTACAACCAGAAGAAGAACATGCCACAGATTTCAACTTCACTGGAACCGATACATGATCCACAGTTTTCTCTCCAAGGAAAGCTGTTGTGAAATCATGGGTATTACTGCTTAGTTGGCATTAAATAAGATCCAGGTCAAATTCCATTTGAGAAATCCCAGGGACTATCCAGGAAACTTTTATTTTGAACTGGATATTGTGTTTGAGTAAATGTGTCTTCTGATAAGACTTAGAATTTCATTTGCAGATACAACAATTTTAAAAATTTAATGCTACAGTGATCTAACTTACATTTAATCTGCTCTTGCTGATGAGCACCAAGAACCAACTTGGTAAGATTGAGGCCTTGCAAGTTAAATTCTGGGGTTGGGGGATCAACATGATACTTGCTAGACAAAGATAGCTGTTCAGATTTGTTCATCTTAAAGCTTTTGCATTACTGTCGTTATCGTAGGACCAGAATGGTTCTCCTAAACAGACTAGATGGATGGTTTTGCTAAATTGCTACCAGTCACACATCATCTTCCCCTCAGCTCATTATTATTATTATCATTATTTTAAAATCAGCATAGAAATAGGAGAGACCAGCCCTGGCTGGTACTGTGCTTGTTATGAGTGAGGTAGAAGCACACTGTGTGGCATTTGCTGCAATACCCAGGCTCTGCAGAGTATTGACATATTGCCCTCTGGGAACACATTGTGTTTAGAGAATGCTGTCTCTTTCCTTGTACTGTTTTACCAGCTAAATTCCAAACATGTAATGATTTCCTGTTCCTTTCTTTAACTAGCTGCCTTTAGATTTGAATATTCACAGTCTTAAAAACCTAGGAAAGAACTAGGTGGGAGTTAACAGACGTAGATGTAATATCAAAGGCATTTCATGACAGAATTTTTATTTCCTGTAGTAAGCTTATAGGGACAAAGGAAATGTGCTGCTAAAAATAAAATTATGCCAGTTTAAAATTAGATAAAATACAGAGTGCCATCCTGCTAGGTATATGCAGACCAAAAGAAAATTTAGTTGGGGAAATACTTATTTTTCCAAATTCTGGTGTTCTGTTAAAATCAAAGAGGAGAAAAGGAAGATTTTTTTCTCTCTCAGACTCTAATATATTTAGATTTGTTTCTGTTTTATAGATTCCTCCAGACACCTAGCTGTTTTTGTATTACATGAATTTAAAAATGAACTAAATTTATTTTTGTCTTCTGTTATTGAAAGGTACCAAAGCCTCTTTCTGTTTGTTTGTTTGTTTTAATTTGATTTTGCTATGTAGGGTTTTGCTTTTTCTAGAAATACTTTTCATTTAACAGCATTTCTTGTCAGGGCCCACTTTGATGTGCACAATTGTTTTTAGATTTCAGTGTGTATGCGTTTGTCTCTAAAGGTACTGGTGCAATCTCAGATTTTATATTCAGCATTAAAGAGAAATAAATTCCAGAAAACACATAGTCTCAAAATGGAGTGTTTGTTCCCTGCCATATCTTAATACCTTTTCTAATTTTAGTTCTGTGTTTGCTTGAAACCTTCCTGTTTAGTGGGGATGTTATACTTCTACTCTCACTCATGAATCTCATACCTGAATGCTGCAGATTAGTTGTAAAAATGCGGACGGATCATTTGCCTATTAGAGGAGACAAACATGTATGTGGTCCTGTGTTGCATGTGTGTTGGAGGTGATCACAGAATGCTCTCAGGCAGTGACCAGGGCCAAGGAAGCATTAAATCTCTCGTTCCCTTGGTGGGTTCCAATAGATGATTGTGGTTTCCTGAGTACACTGAAGCCATGGGCTGGTGGATTTGTTCCCTTAATTGGGTGCAAAAACCCAAGTATAGTGTAGCTGCCACCCTTAGATAGCAGGGCCCCCTTGAGGCAGCCCTCTCTGAAAACAGATGACACTTCTGAAGGCAGAGTTGGAGGCTGATCTTGTCACTGAACTATTTCAGACCTTAAACAGCAAGACCGAAGGAGGGTAAAGGAGGAGATAAAAGAGAACAGGCTGTAAGTTTGAAGGAAATGTGCTAAACTGTGAAACCAAACAAGCCAGGTAATCACTGCCCACTTATACCCCAGATTTTCAGTTTTCCTAGTTCTTCTAGAAATGCAGGTCAGGTTGGTTTGGTCATCCTTTCAATAAGCATGTGTTGAGCTCCTGGAATGTAATGGGTACTGTCTGAGCAGGACAGCAGTCTCTATCCTGAAGAAGGAGAAAAACAGAATCAAGGGCAGCAGTTACTGCCGAGTGATGAATGATAGAGTTGAGGTCAGTTTGTGGCGTTCCGTTCGTCATCCGGAGAGATATGTGTAATCTTTGTTTGTTACAACCCTTCCAGGCTTTAAAATTATTTCATGCAATGGAATATATATGCATACATCTATACACACACACTAAAATATAAAGAGTAATAAACCCCTGTGTGCCTGCCACCAGCTCATTGCCTTTCCTCTGAGGCACTGAGTGCTCTTCTTGGGCCCTATCCCAACCCCGGTTGAGAGTGGGAGCCCCTCTCCTGAACTCTGGATCATAGCCTTTCTCTCCTTTATCATTTTACCTCCTTTATCATATGTACTTTAAATAATAATAATAAATGGCATATAAACTGTATTCTGTCACTTTATGTTCATAGCAGTTGGGCATTATCATTTTGTAACAAGTGTCCTGGTTTATTTTCACGGCTAAGTACTACTTCATTGTATGACTGTATCACAGTTTTTCCCTTCTCCTGTTGCTGGATATTGAACTGCATCTTTCTTTGAAATAGAAAGGCAGTGTTGCTATGAACATTCTTTTATATGACTTCTGGTGCACATAACCAAGACTGGATGTATACCTTGAATAGAACTGCTGTGTCGTACAATAAAGCACATTATCAACTCTTAACAGATAAGGCCAAATTGTTTTCCAAAGTCATGGTACCAGCTTACACTTTCACTGGTGTCCTAGAATTTTCAGTACTCTAGATCCTCGCCAACGTTCAGGATCATCAGAATCAAATTTTTGCCAAGCCGAAAAATGTAAAATGGTATCTTATTGTGGTTTCATTTTGCACATATTTGATTACTAATAAATTGAACATGTTTTATTATGGTAATTCCTAAGTAGGAATTTGGAAATTCTTCTTCGTGTCTCTTACCTTTTTTTCTATTATTTTGTTTTTTAATTATTAATTTTTAAAGTTCTTAATACTTAACCTTTTATCGGTTAATGCTTATTTAACTATTAAAGAGAAACTATATTTAGAGTAGAAAAACTTCTGAAGCAATTTCCAGAAGTATGAAAAGCATGTGAAACTTTCTTCTATTTGGAGAAAATAAAGTTAAATGCATATATTGTGTGTTCTTATTGTGTGCTAATTTTCAACTTGTCAGCATATTATCCCAGAGAAGATGTACTTTGGAAACCCCTCTATGCTCTAGCAGGGTTCTTTCTTTGAAGCTATTTTAAGGCTCATCAATTCTAGTTATTTGGTAGGAGATTGTCACATTTGGTTTTCTGCTATAAAATTTTATCAAAAGGAAATCTTTATATAGACTACATATTTATATATGCACATTTCCCTAGTTTACCAACATGTCATAGACTCACACAAGGACAAAATGATGTTACACTGAAAAGGACATCAAAAAAGTTCACTTAAGTCATAGGAGATTGTTTTGAACCTATACTCGTAATTAAATAATCCTTAAGCTGAATGAGCTAGATCTGTAGTCTGCGAATATAACCCAGTGTGCTGTGCTGATAGCATGTTTTCATGTATGTGAACTGACTGGTGGGTATAAGAATGAGAAACTACAATGCAGTCTTACCTTCTGAGGCTCCTGCTGCCTAGGGACAGCATTTTTAATAGACTAAGGACCCTGGCGTACTAGAAGACTTATTATGAAAGAAAGAATGTAAAATATCTTATTAATAATTTTTATACTGGGGCGCCTGGGTGGCTCAGTCGTTAAGCGTCTGCCTTCGACTCAGGTCATGATCCCAGAGTCCTGGGATCGAGCCCCGCATCGGGCTCCCTGCTCGGCGGGAAGCCTGCTTCTCCCTCTCCACTCTCCCTGC